GGACCAACGCTGGAAACGAACTCTGGTTCGTTTAAAGCGGAGCAAATTATCAGGTCTGAATACGACCTGTATCTTGCCATTGTAAAAGAACAAATCCAGCAAGTCCTCTGCTGATTTTACAATAAAATACCAGAAAAAATATTTTTAAAATCGAAAAAAGCATGTCAGCGAAGATGATGAACCAGAATTCTTAAAGTAAAAGGGCTGCACAAGTCATCACAAAAACAAATTTTAGATTTGGACTCCACACACTTGGAATTTTGCCAGTCTCTTGTCATGGCATAGAATAAAATCTCTGTAAGCAAAGCTTATAATGAATGGTGCAACACACCTGCCATGCTGAAGCTCTGTTTGTCAGGTAGGGTACGCATCATTAACATCGGACAACGCTGGCCCCTCCTGTTCTCAGGAGAGGGGGCGGAGCATGGATGTGTATTGTGTGATTGAGGGAGTGAGCATCGTGAGCTGGGCAATGAAAAGACTAGCATTRTTTGCGAGTCTCAAACCATGAGTCCAACTCAAGTCTCAAGTCTTTAGGGTCCAAGTCTAAGTCAAGTCTAAGTCTCTAATAGTAGGGACTTAAGTGCGACTCATGTCCATGTCCGAGTGACGAGTTCCCATCTCTGGATCCAGCATAAGAAACTTAAGTGAACTTGAATAGTTATTTTACACTTTAAAAGTATATTTTGTTTTTATTGGATTTATTGAGGTTTTTTTTTTGGATGTTCTATTTTATTATTTATTTATTGTATTTAATTGTACAATATTCTTCTGTTTAAGTTAAAAAAAATGTATGTAGCCCATTGGTTAATAATAAATGGGACCAGTCTTTCTCATACCTATTGTTGTTGACTATTGTTTACTATTTGACCCGATCAAGACTTCAAGATTTCACACTACAAAAAGTGTAATAGAAGTATGTAGAATTCATTCTGATTTCGTATTGGGTCGATCAGTTGTAYTGGGACACCTCTATATCAAAGGGTCTTTGTAAACTTTTACCGACTACTTGTTGCTGGAGAAAAGAAAAAGGAAAGCTAAAGAAAAGGCAGTTAGAACCATCACTCCATAAACTAGCTCAGTGTTTCCTAACCCTGGTCCTCAGCATGTACTACCCTGCATGTTTCAGAGGTTTCCCTGCACTTACACGCCTGATTCAGATGATTGCAGTTCAACAAAAGCCTGCTGATCAGTAATCAATTCAAATCAGCTGTGTTGAAACAGGGAAACATTTAAAACATGCAGAAGAGCCTGCCTTGAGGACAAGGGTTGTAAAACAGTGGACTAGCACTCTTTAAAAGGAATGCATTTTGCCTGCCACTTAGTATGCCAAAGTTTTAAACAAAGCTCTCACACAACTAGATACCGCATGGCCCCCGCACCTCAGAAGTCTTTATTCCTAATAAATGTCATGCTACTAGGTGCATCCCAAAATCATCTTCAGAAGATTGTTAATCACTCATTCCTTCAAACCAGGTGTGTCAAATCAGGGAAACATCTAAACATGCAGGAAAGGAGTCCTTGAGGACCAGGGTTGAGAATCACTTCTTTAATACGTTACCTGATTTATTATGGCAAGGAATCAATGGCTTCCAGAGGCAATACTAAAAGACATAAAACTAAGTCAATATTATATTTTGAAAATGTGTCATCAAGCTCAGAGAAGTTTTTGAGGTGTTGGTCAACATTTAAAGCAGCGATTTTTAGATGTTTCCCTGCTTTGACACATCTGGTTTGAATGAATGAGTGATTAACAATCTTCTGAAGACCTGCTGAACAGCAGGGAAACAAGTAAAACATGCTGGATAGGGGTACTTGAGGACCAGGGTTGGGAACCACTGGGCCATGACTTTCAGCTACTAACACACCAAACAATTTAGCGCAATTTCTGTCACACTGAATGAGTTATAGCCACTTCTGTTTGTTAAGACTGATTAGTTAACCATTGGCCCAACCCTACAATGATTATAAAAATTACAAATTCCTAGATTTTGAAAAACAAAACAAAAAAAAAGTCAATAGTATGAAGAGAATGGACCTGACAATCTTTTAAGCCCATTCTCAGATTTTTTATCATTAAATTTTTGGCTTTTTTCTTGTTTGCTATATCATTGTTCTGGGCGGTATACTGGTTCGTACCAACTTTTTTATTTAATTATTTAATTATAAACAATTAGTATAAATAATTTTGTATAAGGCTCACCAAAATACATTACCTTTAAAACATCCAGAAAAAACTTCACAAAGAGAGTGAGCTGTTATAACCTTAAGGGGAGAGAGACGTTCATGAAATCTAAATTTAGAACCAGCTTCAAAGAACGGTGCAACTCAAAGGAGTCAGATTGTGGAATAATCTGGAAAATGATGTTAAAAGTGTCAAATCAATGTACATGTTCAAGAGAATGATAAAGGTTGGATTATTGAAAAAAATATATGAAACAGTATAATGTGTACTCATATAAATTGTTGTTCTAAAAGGATTAGATGTTTTTGCTTTATTATTATTTTGTTTACTGAAGATTATTATTGTTTGAATTTATACTTGAAGAAAAAGGTGTGGATATAAGATTTTTTATCTTCTCTCTGCTGCCTTTCATTTCATTGTATTTATATATTTTTTTTATTGTACATAGTATTATTTTTGTTTTTAATTAATTAATTAATTAATTAATTAATTAATTAATTAATTAATTAATTAATATTTTACTATGTTTTCTAACTTTATTAATTTTTAAATTTTGGTCATATTACCCAGCACTATTTTAATATTAAGTTAACTCCCTTTTGGGTAGGCTGGAGTTAAAGAAGAAATATTAAAAATAAGCCCTGACTAATACAAGGAAGTAGTGCCACATGTAAAAATTCTGTTTTGCTACAGATCGACTTACCTGACTGCATGCTCAAGCCTGGCCAATAAAGATTATTAAAAAACAATCGATCTACCACTATGTCTTCCTGATGCATGTTCTCCTTGTATTTATATGTTCATGTGAATAAATTAGGTTCTTGTAAAATGTAACTATCTACTTGGTTTCTAACATCA